ACAAGTTGGCTACCGCGAGCGTTTTGAGGCGAACTTGCTCCACTTATCGTCAGTATTCCGCTCTTGCTACACGCTACCGCACAGCAGGACCTTTTAACCATATATATCACAGAGCAACCAGGTTCGCCGCGAAAGGAGCGACTTGTATTAGCTATTCACCTTGCCGGCCATTTCGACAACAATCTGCCCAGGATATCTTTAGGCAGGGGTGAGAATATGCGGCCTGCGGGCTGAACGTGCCACCGTATCGCATGAAGGCCAGATGCGGTAGGACCGGAGGCCGACCTTTACATTAGTAAGTGGACGTATTGTGGCTGGGACGTGCATTGGCGTGCTTCACCTAGGGCGAGCCACGCGGCAAAATGCTTCGGGGAATAATAAACCTTTATGAATTGACATGCATGCCGTTGCATTACGGCTGGATCTACCCATCTTACGAGGTCGGCAGCCCAGTGGGACCCTCCTGCAAGGCAAGCCAAGGTGGGTCGGTGACCCCACTTCCTCATATCTAGGATGGAACATATGACACCCGCCCGGTGAGTTATCTTGGATATGCACGAGGGGGGGGGGGTACCGGCACACCTATCTAGATAAGCAGATGAGGGACCAGACCCCGGCCCCCCAAGATGAGGATGAGTGACCTAAGTTGTTACCCTCCTGTGGGACAACCACAACGACTACGGATTGCTGCAAGTGGGGGACCGGTACGTGGCGACAGGTGCCTTAGTGGTGGATTTAGCTCATGCATGCGGGCTTGTGTATGCAGCCATGTCCCTCTGCTTGCCCCCCAAACCTGGCCCCAGAGACCTGACCGGTTCAGTTGGGATCTGGTTGGGTCCCGCCCGCCACCTGCTGCCGCTGACTTGACAACCCGCTGATCCGCTCTCCTTTTACTGTTTCTTCAACCCCCCCCTCCGCCTTTCCCCTTCCTCCTCGCCCCTGCCTGCGCCTCCTCCCCGCCTCCCCGACCGGTACCACTACTGCATCCTACTCGCAGCCCCTTTTCCCTTTTGGTTCCTTCTCTGCAATTTGAATTTTTTTACACTTCCTCCCTCCCCCAATGTCGCTCAATGGCGCACTGGATGGACTCGACCGTACCCCCCCGGCCTATGCGTGAATGGCCCCTCCCCTTCTGAGCCCTTCAGGAGCAGACCGGTGTACCCCCCAGCGCCTGGGAGAACTGGGCCTACGTGTCGCCCGAGGGCCGCGCAGCCAAGCGCACCGAGTACATGTCCTACGGGGCCCACCGGGAGACCGACTGGTGGGGCTACACCGCACTGGACACATTCCTGCAGGTGGGCGCCGGAGTATGTACGTCGGTCTGCAACCCCGGCATTCATCCGTACATACATACATGTGTCCTCCGTGGCAGTCCGTCGCCGTGTGCGGTATGCCACATGCGTGTCATAGGCTCATGGCGCGGACGCACGAACGCGGTGCGATCGGGCACGTCGGTACACGTCGGTGCCTCGGGTTGCACCCTTAGGTCTTTGGGGTCGGAGGGTGGCGACCGCGCGCCAGCGCGCGAGTGGGTGCGTGGTAGGATGGGGGTTAAGTGGCCGCCGCCGTGGCCCACAGCAGTGCACTTCCGCGTTCCGCGTTCCGCGTTCCGCGGCGGAACTTCCGCCCCGCGCCAAGCCACGACTTTGCGAGGCCTGGTGGCTGCCTCTACATTTCAACCCTTTGTCGCCCTCGGAAGGCTCCCTCGGATATTCACAACCCGACGATGACGAGCTAACGTCGGTACTTCTGCCCGCCGTCGTCGTTCGGCACTGAACGATTGCGCAGCTCAAGGAGGGTTTCGGTTGGGAGTTTTACCGCAAGGTCTTCGCGGCGTACCAGTCCAGTCCGCCCCAGGTGCGTGAGGCAGGGAGGGAGGGAGGAAGGAAGGGGAGGGAGAGCGGGAAGGCAGGAGAGAGAGGGAGAGGATGCACCCGTGGGCGAAGGACAGGGGCAGCGGGGAGCCGGCGGTGTTAGTTTTGGGCAGTAGCCGCGGGGGGTGGGGAGTAAGAAGAACGGCCCGGGGGTGGGGGGTGGAGCCGCTGTGCTCCTGTCGGAACAAAGCTCGGAAGCGCTTCCAGGGCCCGAATTCGAGGGGGAATGCAGAAAGTAGCCAAAGAGAAGCGAATTTGGGGGTGAGAGGCACAGGACGGGGGAGGAGGGCGCGTTTGAAGCGGCCGTGCGGCTCCAGGACGACTCTGCCTTCGGCGGACAGCCTGGTAGACAGGTAAGCAAATTAACCCGCAGCCCTGCTGTGCGTGTTTTTGGCCAATACACACTATTACACGCTAAAACCTTCCTGCGCCCCTTCTCCGCCACGGCCCACGTCTTCCGCTTCCTTCAATCCTGATTCGCCATCCCTGCCCGCCCGCCAATCCTGCTGCACCCCCACCGCCCTAACGAACAGGGTGATGCGGTCCAGGCCTGGATCCGAATCACCAGCCAAGTGGCAGGTGAGGGGGCTGCTGGTAGCGTTGGGGTGTGGTGCGTGATGGGGAGGGAACGTAGCGACAGCGACACAGGAGCGGGGTAAGACAGCGGAAACCGCGGCGGTAGAACAGGAGTGAACGGAGTGGGGAGTCCCTATGGACCATCTTGGCCTGCTGCGCCCGCTCGCTCCAGTCGGCGTTCCTAGCCTCCCCTCCATTATTCTGTCGCGACCATGCATCCCGCGACCCCGGTCTTCTCCAAAACTCCCTCTTGCCCCAGGAGTCAACCTGACTCCCTTCTACCGGGCGTGGAGTTTCCCCCTCGCCGCCGAGACCCTTGATTCGCTGGCTTCGCTGCCCGCCTGGACAGCCAACCCGTTCCTCACGTACTGGTCAGCACAGCAGCGGGGAGGGCGATAAAGATGCAACCGCATCATGGGACGGACGTAGGCGAAGGGAAAGGTGCGGGGCTGCCTCGTCGCGTTTGTACGTAATAGCGCACATTACGTAATAGCGCATATTACGTAATAGCGCACATTACGTAAATAACGCACATTCCCGCCAGGATGCACCGACGTGCAGCAGTGGCTGGATGAAATTGTTGTGGGTGTTACAGACGGCTCCAGACTCAGAAAGAGTAGAGCCAAGGGGCCAGCTGGCCGTATGCCGTTGGTGCAGATTGCGGGGCGGAGCTGTCGCGGCCAGCAGGAAGCCGTCTGCAGCAGTTACATCCCAGCTCCGGTGCGTGAATCCGACCCGAACCCACTCCATCCATCTTTGCGAGCAGCAGCAGCCCGCTGCGAAGTGCCGGGCGGCGCTTCGTCGGTTCTTGCGGTGGGTTGCAAGAGGGCGTAGGGACAAATTGGTGCGGTTGAGGGAGAGGCGTATTGAGAGCGAGAGCACTTGGGTGCTCGTTTATTTATACGTATACGACGGAGCAATGCTGCCGCATCGGCAGGGCCAGCGTGCGTCTCAACATGCGGGGGGTTGACATGATAGGCGGTGAAATTTGGTTTTTTTCGGCAGGCCAGCATCGCACGACAGCATGCGTGTGCGCAACACACACGCAGGATGCACGATGCTGACACTTACCAGGGTGTGCGCGTTAGGTCACCGTACCTTCTAGTACTGTTGGGGTTTTGTGGGCGCAACCCCCCCCACGGAGCGGCTCCGGGGGGGCGACGCCCCCTCGGCCTTGGCGTTGGATATGTAAGACCCTGTCTGTCTGTCTGCCTGCTGCGTGCGTGCCTGCCTGTCTGTGCGAGGATCGGCAAACATTTCAAAGGTTTGGATCCAGACTGGCTGGAATTGATAGTCCTTTCGTCCCTCTATTGGGTGATGTACTTCTGGCTGGAATTGATAGTCCTTTCGTCCCTCTATTGGGTGATGTACTTCTGTGGGCCTGGAAAAAAATATCTCAAGTACGGCAAACGCTTGCGTGCGTTGATCGGAGCCAGTCACGGTCCTTCCAAGACTGAGCCCTGATCCAAAAGCACAACTCGGCAGCTCTTCGGCCGCGCTCGGTATGCTTTCAATAAACTCTTAGCACATGGACGTGGTGGTCGGAAGCCCCTTGCCGCCTGCATGTTCGCACAAACAAGTTGGCTACCGCGAGCGTTTTGAGGCGAACTTGCTCCACTTATCGTCAGTATTCCGCTCTTGCTACACGCTACCGCACAGCAGGACCTTTTAACCATATATATCACAGAGCAACCAGGTTCGCCGCGAAAGGAGCGACTTGTATTAGCTATTCACCTTGCCGGCCATTTCGACAACAATCTGCCCAGGATATCTTTAGGCAGGGGTGAGAATATGCGGCCTGCGGGCTGAACGTGCCACCGTATCGCATGAAGGCCAGATGCGGTAGGACCGGAGGCCGACCTTTACATTAGTAAGTGGACGTATTGTGGCTGGGACGTGCATTGGCGTGCTTCACCTAGGGCGAGCCACGCGGCAAAATGCTTCGGGGAATAATAAACCTTTATGAATTGACATGCATGCCGTTGCATTACGGCTGGATCTACCCATCTTACGAGGTCGGCAGCCCAGTGGGACCCTCCTGCAAGGCAAGCCAAGGTGGGTCGGTGACCCCACTTCCTCATATCTAGGATGGAACATATGACACCCGCCCGGTGAGTTATCTTGGATATGCACGAGGGGGGGGGGGTACCGGCACACCTATCTAGATAAGCAGATGAGGGACCAGACCCCGGCCCCCCAAGATGAGGATGAGTGACCTAAGTTGTTACCCTCCTGTGGGACAACCACAACGACTACGGATTGCTGCAAGTGGGGGACCGGTACGTGGCGACAGGTGCCTTAGTGGTGGATTTAGCTCATGCATGCGGGCTTGTGTATGCAGCCATGTCCCTCTGCTTGCCCCCCAAACCTGGCCCCAGAGACCTGACCGGTTCAGTTGGGATCTGGTTGGGTCCCATTTTTTAATATGTACGAAAGCAAACATTTGTTTGCATCCCGGTTCCAGTCCCGAGATAGCTCGGTTAGCTCAGTCGGTAGAGCGTACGGCTGTTAACCGTAAGGTCGACAGTTCGAACCTGTCATCGAGCGCATGGGGTCGTAGCTCAAATGGTAGAGCGCCCGCTTAGCAAGCGCTGAGCGCCGTATGAAATGCGGGAGGTAGGGGGATCGATGCCCTCCGACTCCAAATAATTTTATTCGGCAAAAGTGTGGGCATGTAGGCAGCGTCTGTGGGCCATGGCCTTTTAAGGGCTCTTCAAGGGGGCACCGTGCCGGCTTGTCAGCCCGTCCCCCGCGGCCGTACGTGTCTTGCTTTGTTAGCGTGTCGCAGGGTCTGGGAGAGTGCCCGTGTAGCCCCAGGAGGTGAGTGCCCTGTGGACCAGGTTCTCCCTCAGGCGTGTGTGCGAGCCTTCGAGTTAGCGGAGGCCGCCCCCGGGAGATGCGCGAGGCTTGTGTTAGGAACCAGCTGGCCTTCAGGGACCAGTGTGCGGGTGTGTGTCCAGCGTGCAGTTGCTGTAGCCGTGCCTTGGTTCTCGTGGTGTGGCGGTCCGAGGCCCGTGGTCCTCCGTGTCTCTCCGGCTTTGCTGGCTGGGCAAGGAGCACAGCCCTGCGTGGGGTAGCTTTCGTTCGTGCGGGCCGTGTCTGGATGGCCGCCTGGGTAGGCCCTCCTGTTCCACGTCGTGTGGGTTTGTAACCGTCAACAATAATGCACCTGGGCCTACGTAGTGCCCAAGCAACAGCAGAAAGAAGCCTCTGCATAGCTACGCATAGCACGGGCCCTAGAGATCGCTCTGCCCTAGGGCGTCACGACCTCCTGAGGTGTCTGCTACTGCGAGGTGTCTGATATCGAGGCCAGAAGGCCCCCCAGTTCGAAATGGAACGGCAGCGCCCCATGAGTCTTTCCTTATTAGAAAGTTTCAACATAGTCATTGTAAAGCTACACTCGGAATGCTCATTAATTAATGCTGGAACGGCACGGCTTCACACGCCACGGTCGTGTCCACTTGCAGCGCTTCGACACCAACTGCCATACCAACGGTCTCAACCGACACTGCCTGACACGGTTTCTCTGCGACGCTGGCTTGCCCTGACACATGTGTGCGGCACGCAGGGCACCTCATGTTATGCGTTTATTGTGTTGTAAGCTGTCTTGGGGGGGCTAGCTCCAAGGAATATCGGGCAGGGGCGACGGAGTCAGGCAGGAATGAGTGCCTGGTAGCTGTGCCCGCGGCCTGCGGCCCTTGTTGTGCAGCGTCGAAACATCGAAACGGTCATGGTAGGTTACGGACGTAGCAGTCGCTTGTCATGACACACTGCGTAATTGACATAGCGTGTTGAAAGCCTGGATTGTACGCTCTACACCAGGGAACCCCGCCTCGGTCAAGGATGGGTGAACGCCACGGAATCTACTCCGGAAGACGGGATTAGATGATCCAGTACGGCAGGATCCCTAAGCCCGTCTAGGATAGAAAGGCCTGATCAGGGCTGCCCAACAAGCTCGAGTCACCTTTACCAGTCTGCAGTACGATTGCAGATTCCCTGGCCGCAGCCAGAGACGTAGGGTGTCGTGACACGCTTCTTTAGTGTGGCCGTGTATGCTGCAATGGTTAGTGATGCGACTTGGAAGTTGGTAGCTTCAGGAAACCTGTCTAGCTTGTATGTATGTTGTTGCCGTTTGCAAACGTTTGCCAAGCCTGGAGGTGCCTGCCGCTCCTGCCAGTCTGCGCCTGGACAGGCCTGGCCTACAGGGGCCTAACTGGGCCTACCTCCCCCTTCTCATCTGACAAAACACAATTACAATTTCTTAAACGGCTATTGATGGCAATTTTACTAAGTCCAAACAATAAAATAATACCTTATCGACTTGCATGAATGTACATCAATTATCTTATTTGCTTGCAATTCATTTGGCCACTCTCGCATGGCGGGCGTGCACACATGCGCGGCCCCAGATTGTAGCGATGAAAATACTACTTTTATAAATAAGAAGGGGAGATATTTTTAAAGTGCTTAATAGATATCTCAAGATCGCTCTTGCACAGCGGCAATACCGTACGCTTGACGCAAGGCCCTCGGGAGGTACGTTTTGATTAAGGCCTAGCCAAGTCCTTATGCCTAAACCATTCCAAATATCACATAAACATAAACATATAATGTGAGCCCTCATGTCACAACATTAAGCGCAGCAACAACTGCTTACATCTCTCAAGCTTGCTCCGACGACACAAAAGTACAGACGCATTCGTAGCCGGCGTCCTCATAGCGTGTGCACACAGGCCCGCCCTTGCTTTGTAAGCATTTCTAACACACCTGGAAGGATGGGAGACTCTTCGCGTCTTCTCCTCGCGCTGTGGGGCGTATTCGCGCTCGTCTCGGCGCCACAGCTGCTGCTGCGGCCAGTCGCGGCGCAGACGCCCGTTGCGAACACGCTCCTGGCCGCCATGAAAGCCCACCTGCCCGCGCTTCTTCAAGGCATTACTGGCAGCTACCCTCGCAGCGTCGCCGCGTCGACGTTCGTCATCTGGTCACCTACGGCGTTCCCCGTCGCGATCGGCGGGGACCCCAACACGCCCTTGCCTGTTGTGGCGGCTGCGGCTCCGCCATCCGGCGGACGCGTCGTCGCCTTCGGCCACGAGAGCATCCCGGGCGGTGAGTTGCGAGCGCGGTCAAGCAACTAGACCACCTAGTCGAGAGCAGAGCTCGCTCAGGGCGCGCCCTCGGCACACGCAACCAATGAACCGTACACACGTTACAAGTTCCGCCTGCCTTCATTTCTTCTCGTCGCGTCGAGCAACACACGGCGGTACGGTGCTGGCCCTATCCGAATCGACTTCTGTGTACATGATCGGCAACTCAATACTGAAATGGTGGACAGATAGAGCCCGCTTGCTTCCGGTCGTTCTTGATGAGCAGTTTCCCTCCTATTCTCGCTCATGCGTGTGCGTTAATGGTGCAGGCTGCTGCTCCACAAAAGACGGTTGGGATAAGCTGGTGTTAAATGCGGTCCGCTGGCTAGCGGGCGGCAAGTCCACCGTGCGGATTGCGGCGCCGCCTACCCTTGCCTGGGCCACGTCTGGCATCGCCGCTGTCAAGCCGGTACGTACGTACGTAAGCACCTTTGGTGCACAACTAACAAACACCATCCACAGACGTGCGTGTGCGTGTAGCCGGAGATCGCTCGCTTTGGGTCCACTGTAAAGTCATAGAGCGTGTTTCTTTGCTGCACACACACACCAATGCCGTACTTCATCAGGTATGTACTGCATATTCGTACGATTGCGCAGGCTCTGACCGGTATTACGGTCCAGACGAGCGCCGTTAGCCTGGACACCTTCGTCACATCGGCCGGATCTGCCAATGTGGACATCTACTGGTGAGCGCATCCTCATGCAAGTATGTAGCACGCAGCTGCTGCCGTGCGTACACACATACAGTGAGCTCAGGATGGATGTATTGCTAAATGAGTGATGAACTGTGGAGGCGGGATTTATAACCCGCCACGCGCGCGGCACACGCAAGGGCGTTGCTGACGTATTTACGTGAACGAATACGTATACGACGGTATACTTATTCATCGAGGAGCACGGGGCAGGCAGGGGGTTGAGCTGGGGGCTTGACAGATACGTAGCGGCGGAGGGGGGCCTCCCGCCCCTTCCCTTCCTAGGACGAAACAGGTCATCAGCCCAGCAGCGGGATGCGATGGGTCAGCTAGCTTGTCATCAGCGGGTTTTGACTACTGGCGCAATGCAACACATACAGAATTACGATACGCAAGGCGCTAGATGAATGCCTTCATGCACATCTTACCTACCCTCTGTCGCCCCCCCTTTTGCCTCGCAGGATCGACACCACCACAAATTACACCGCGGCACAGGTAACCGCGCTGCTCAAATTCGCCAATACGGCCGGCAAGGGACTGCTGGTGGCAGGTGAGTGCGTGCGTGCGTGCACACGAGCACGCGTGTTTGCCTGAGTTTGCGTGCGTGCGTGCGTGCGCAACTGGTAGCGAGACACGCTGACCGTGAATGTCCGGCAAGTATGGTCCTGAAGCTTGCTTGTGTGCAGCTGTGCACATGCTACAATAGACATGCCTGCATAACAAACAAACTGACGTCCAGCACGCAACCACACAATCTCGCAACCTGGTGCGTCTCCCGATGTGTTCTTCCAAACGGAAATAGAGCGAGCTTGCGTGTTCCGGCCTAGGCGCACACGCCGCCCACCGGTGCGTCATTGGTGTCGACCTCGCTCGCAGGCCAAACCACGAGCTGGGGTGGCCGATATCCCAACGCCAACATCTTCATGGACCTGGCCGTTAACCGGGTGCTGTGGCCGCTTGGTCTGGCGGTCGCCACTACTGACGCGCAGACCGGGTTCCAGGTAGGGAGCGAGGTGAAGCACATTATTTAGGGCGCGTAGAGGCTGGGCGAGCGAGCGAGTGGGCGGCGGCGGGCTGCTGCAGACCGGGGGTTTGCGGCGGCGGACGGGCGGAGGGTTTATTTGCGGCGCTGCCTCAGTAGATAGTAGCTAGGGGCTGGCTTTACTCCGAGAGTACTCCCAGCAGGGAAGCAAGTCCTGCATTACCCACGCACTCGATAGCCATAGGGAGTCTGGTTTGGGGGGGGGGTGACGACAGCAGCGGCTGACGGTCTCCACTGGGTTCGTTGATACCATCTAGCTCGTAATTGTAATTATTGCTTTAGATAGCAACGGACATGTATGGGGCGGGGTTGTATGTGCCAGTTGAGCAACGGCTCGGGCCGGCTTCCCCTGAGTGCTCTGTCCGCCGCCGCGGGCCTTGACGGGCTTGCCTGAGGCACACAGCGCTGCCTTCTTTCTTTCCAAAGCTGGAAGAGATGCATGATTTGGAGCATTTTTACACTTAGGAAGGCATCCGGCTTTGCTTGTGTCTCCCGCTGAACGTCCATGTACCTCCAGACTGCTCCAACCACGAAGCCGCCGGCAGACTGGCTCTTTTACAACAGCCTCCATGTCGCGGTAGGTGAGGGCGCGCGCACGGCGGCGGGGATAAACCGGCGGCCTGCTGCTGCTCAGTTTGCTTGTCAGTAGCGAAGTAAGGGGCCTCACGGAGCGGACTAGTTGCTTTGATTGGGCTGCGCTGTTCCGTACGTGTTGTTGGTTTCGTAATTCCGCAAAGAGCAACAGATGGAAGAGCTTCCGCTCGCC